GTTTTAACTTAAATTTACAGTTAAATACCGTAATTTCATTAAGTGATATAATGTTAATATACCAACCTATTGAAGTACTGAAATCTGTTTTGTACCTTTGTAATACACTGATAACCACCAAATGCAGGTGGTGATGAGAAAGTCACATGATGAACCAAAGCCCATCACAAGCAGCTTTTAAATAATAACATGTATAGAAGGTGCACAGTGTCATTCACACAAACGCTAAACACCATCATGGTAACACACATGAAACTGAAATAATGCAATAAACATTAATTTAACAACATTAGGTGTAACACACAACCCTAATATACAAAACTGATAAGAAAAAACTAAGAAGAAACATAGTTATTTCAACAAAAAAACATCAAATTTGAAATGTAACACAGGGAATTCTGGGAATGTCAATTTACGGTTATTCACTGTAAATTATACGGTCTTTTTCACTTCCAAAACCGGCATACTACCGTAAAATTAATGTCCAATACAATTTTTCACCGTATATAGTAGGGGAATTTACCGTTAACCATTTAACAGGTTTTTACTGTAGCATTTTTATAGTCTTTTACCGTTAAATTCACGGTCATTTTTTACAGTGTACTGTAGTATGTAATAATCCCAGGTGGAACAGGTTTTCTGTAGGAGGTCATTATATGGAGCCAGGCAAGGCAGAGGTGTTTATTCAAGGGCATCAAGGTCGTGGCGTGTGTGACACACACAGGAGAGAGCGGACGCTCTGTTTTGAGAAGAGAGGCCCCCTGCTTCGAATGATCCGCACATCATCCTCTCTCGCCGTATGGATCTCTGGCACTCAAATCTCTCTCTCAGACCAGCACACAATATCTGTGGAATGTCGTGCTTCTGTGAAATACGGTTCACACGGTCCAGTACAGAAAAGATGAACCTTATATAAGCACACCCTTAGCTTTCAAAAAGGGACCCCTGATGAGTGCACTAGCACTGTTTATAGAGTGTGGACTGCTCTTATTAACATGAAAGCTCTTCCCATAAAGCACCACGCTGAAAAAAAAACTGTTTAAAGAAAATGAGGGCTTTTGTTTATTAAAGATAATCTGACTCTGGCTCCATGCAGAGGCCTCAATCTTCAGCATATTTGATTACAGAAGTGAGGAACAAATTTCTGCTAACAATGAGATATTGTCGTTTTTGATGCTCTGCAAATGTATTTCTTGGCAAACCAGCAAGCCTGGTTGGGTCAGGTATTTTTTTCAGGTCTGGGATGAGTCAAAGGCTGAATTTGGATAAGCATACTACTCTTACTATTGCTGCCTTATAAAGACAAGGCAGAAATAGTACAAGCAGTATGCCAGTTTTATACAATTAATATATTCTGAAAGCTGAATAAATAAGCTTTCCATTGATTTATGGTTTTTTAGGATAGGGCAATATTTGGCCGAGATACAACTATTTGAAAATCTGGAATCTGTGTGTGCAAAAAATAAAATTAAATATTGAGAAAATCGCATTTAAAGTTGTCCTAATGAAGTTCTTAGCAATGCATATTACTAATCAAAAACTATAAGTTTTTATATATTTACAGTAGGACATTTACAAAATATCTTGATGGAACATGATCTTTACTTAATATTCTAATGATTTTTGGCATAAAAGAAAAATCTATAATTTTGACCCATACAATGTATTGTTGGCTATTGTTTCAAATATACCCGTGCTACTTATGACTGGTTTTGTGCTCCAGAGTCACATATATAGGCTAATATAATAACCTAAAAATGAAAATTCTGTTGTCATTGACTAACCCCTTAAGTTGTCGCAAACCTCTACAAATTTCTTACTTCTGTTGAACATGAAAGAATATTTTTTTGGAGAAAAAGAAAAGTGGGTACAAAAACGTTGCTGGTGAACATTGACTTCCATAGTATGGACAAAATATTATGCAAGCTAATGGTGGCCATCAACTGTTTGGTTACCAGTGTTTTTGGGTGAACTATCCCTTTAAGCCACACTTTAAGAAGATATTAAATAAATATAAAATATGAAATTAATGACCAAATGATAGACTTTTTCTAAAAGACAACTTTCTTTTAGACATTTTAGCAAATAAATTGCCAGACTTTTTGTCAGAACTTCAACAATGTGTGTGCATGTTGTTAATTACTTTAACCAACTAACTTGCTTAAACAGAGCAATGCAGGTGTAATTTGTCACACACTCCTCTAATGTTTCACAACCACAAAGTGTCACAATACTTTTTGTCTTTGTCATTTTGACGAGTATATATTGTTTATATAATTTTAAACCTAACAAAGAGCTTTTTGGTGAAAAGTGTGCATGTGCTTTTTTATTTTAAAATTATATATATATATATATATATATATATATGTGTGTGTGTGTGTGTGTGTGAAAACCAGACATGTGTGTGTGTGTCATAATCTTTTTTTCTGGGTCTCAAGAGGATATGAATCTATGTTTTCCAGTAGAAGTCAGACCGTATTTGCACGATGAACGCTCCGCCCCTAACGACTATAGCTAGTGGAAACTCCTCCGTAGAGGCGCGTTTTTACGCCAAATCACCTCCACGCTGCCAGCACGTGAGGAGAGAGCAGAGACGGTCAGGCTCACACCAAAGACTTTTACACCAACTCTCCCACCTTCAGACAGCACAATGGCAGAAGAAAAGATCTCAATAGAAGATGTAAAGACGTCCAACGGTGAAGCGCACCAGGCCAACCCGACCATCGCCAACGGCTTGGGCGATCACAAGAGGAGCGAGCCGGAGAGCAGAGGGCAGAAGCTGAAACGCTTCGCCATGGCCAATCTGCTGGTCATCCTGACGGTGTCCGCGGTCATCGGTGGCGTCTTCATCGGGCTCGGCGTGCGAAGCGCCGGGTTGAGCCGCACGCAGGTCCTTTACTTCGGATTCCCCGGTGAGCTCCTCATCCGCTTGCTCAAGATGATCATCATTCCTCTGGTGGTCTGCAGTCTGGTGTCAGGGGCTGCCAGCCTTGACCCCAAAGCCCTGGGCAAGCTGGGCGGCTGGGCGATGCTCTTCTTTCTGGTGACCACTCTGATCGCGTCTGCCATCGGCGTTATTATGGCGTTCATAATTCAGCCTGGCTCCAGCGACGGCCAAAAAATATCCAACCTCAACCAGGATGACATAAAGGTTCCCGAAGCCAAAGAGGTCATCGATTCGTTTTTAGACTTGATAAGGTGAGTCCCCAAAGTTCACCAGTGAACACGTGTTGGAACATTTCGCGCTTTGAGATTCGAAATTAGAGCTCTAGGGTTCCAAAACTTTTATATGATTAGGTTTATGATAAACTTATCAATTATAACGTTTAACTGTATAGTTAGCCTACTGTGTGGCATTGTCAATATCGATATGAATTTCGTGAACTAAGTCGGCTTTTTTCAATGATTTGGTTAAACCGGTGCACAAAACACGATTCTAGAAATGAACAGCAGAAATTCTGGAATTACAACGGTAATGTACGGGCATTTTACTAACACAAAATGTGAAATGAAGCTATTTTTAAAAAGTATTTTTAAAGTACCCATGCAAAAACTGAGAGGTCTACATGTACTGATTATCGTAAATTCATTCAGCAACATTGCTTTGACTTTCTATACCGTGGGTTGCGTGACGTTGATCTACATGTGCTGTAAGCGGACGCTTCAGTTGCATCAGCTGCGCGTCGCGTGCTCGACGCAGTAATCTATGAAGGTAGAATGACGTCAAAAAGATCTGCATACGCAGGGTAAGAGTTGTGGAAGTGTACATAAGACTGTAAGCGTAAATTAAATTTGCATGCGCAAGAGAAGCTTTGTAAAGGTGTAAATCGTGTTTCAAGCGCAATAAAAAAATATTTGCAGCATTTTACTGTTACTCGTAAGTGTAATTCATGTATTGTGAAACTGCAGCTTCATGCTAACGCAAAATAAATATGATCTGCACGCTTCTGACTTCCATTTTTCCGCGCTTACACTTTTCGGGAACTTTTTGCCCCACATGCACAACAAGTCATTTAGACAAGTCATGCAGTTCTTTAAACTGTTGTTTTCGCTTGCAAATCACTGTTCACAGGCTTGCAGTGCTTTTGACCGTCTTTTGGCGAAAAAAAACGTGCCAAAAGTGTAAGCGCGGAAAAATGGAAGTCAGAAGCATGCAGATCATATTTATTTTGCGTTAGCATGAAGCTGCAGTTTCACAATACATGAATTACACTTACGAGTAACAGTAAAATGCTGCAAATATTTTTTTCTTGCGCTTGAAACACGATTTACACCTTTACAAAGCTTCTCTTGCGCATGCAAATTTAATTTACGCTTACAGTCTTATGTACACTTCCACAACTCTTACCCTGCGTATGCAAATCTTTTTGATGTCATTCTACCTTCATAGTAATCCGCTCTCAGAGGATGCAGCTTTATGGTCAGTTTTAAAGATGTGGCATCTACCCTTCCCTTTTTCCGGGTGTGTGCTTTCGTTTACTCGAGAAAGCAAATGCCGAATGAAAGTTTTTAGCGGTATATACCGGACTGTGGCGCTTAATAGAATAAGATAAGTAGAAATTGTGAAGAAAATAATAATTTATTCTTTCAGCAGAGGCAGACATTTCTTGCATTCCATAAGGAAACCTAAATCATACAGTTTATGGGTGAGTTTTAGGGTTTGGTCCTGTTGTCCTGTAAACAGGTCAAATTTCATCATGTGTTGAACAGAATGATGTGAAGAGAACATTCTGTTCTCATTTACCTTCAAAACAACAACACAAGACGTTTTGTAAACAACTTGTAAACTTTCTAACTACCACTGAAGACTAGCATGTTAATATGAATAGGCCTATATACAAAATGCAAATATTTAAACTGACACACTTTAGGGTGACCTGACCCAAGAGAAACAGGGTTTTCCTGTTTTTTTTTTAATGGACTGTCCTTGAAAATGTCACTCGTCCCACAAAGTGAGATAAAACGAAATTTGCTATAGCCTATAGGCCTACTACCTTTGCTTTTTTTTTTAAAGAAACAAATCACATACAGAAACTTCAGTTTCATATTCAGTTTCTATATATATATCTCATTTTGGAAATGTAAACATGAATGCAGCAATTCTATATATTCAACAATAATATATACATATACATACATTTTATATATATATATATATATATATATATATATATTAGGGATGCACCGGTATGAACATTTTTTTATCATGATTATAGTAAACAGAATTATCACGGTTATCAGTATTATCACGGTATTGTTAAAATGTGCTGGAGATGTTCAAAAAGTACCAACACATACTGTAAATCACTTCAAGTTTTATATTTAAAAATCAACAAACAACAAATAAAATGACGTTTTGTTTGCATAATCACTAAAACAATAACATCATCAATGATGTTCGGATTTTAAATGACAACTTGACTGATAACAGCTCAATAGCATGTTGAAATATCTAATGTAAATGCTCAAATAAAGCTTTGAAAAAGTTTCATAGAAAGGTAAACCTCACATTTCAGCCTTTAAATAAAGAAAAGAGTTAAGTCAAAATGATAATTGATTTAAAGGGGTCATATGATGCGATTTCAATTTTTCCTTTCTCTTTGGAGTGTTACAAGC